TGTAAAACCTGAGTAAAAGGGCACATTATACTTTGCTATAATAGCGTGTTGGTTTCTCCTTGTCCTGGGAGGGTAAGCCTGGTCCAGCTCTCATTGGTGAAACAATATGGGACATAGTAGCGGCATCTGACAAAGTGGGTCTTTGCCCACAAAAGCTTATGCTCCAATAAATCTGTTAATCTATAAGGTGCCACAGGACTTCTTGTTGTTTATACAGATTCAGACTAACATGGCTACCCCTCTGATAAAACGTCTCAGTTAATAACACTATATTTTGAAATCTGTGAGACTAATATACACGTATTCTGTTGAACTTCGATCATAAATCATTTTTTAAAAGCATTTCAGATCACTTACCATTAGTCCTAAGTAAAACTGTAACTTTGAGTGGTGCTCTCTCCATGATAGGATTCTTCTCTCAGGCACTAGCTTACAATTGATGTGAAAGGAATTAACATTCCAGAGCTGACTCATTCTTTCTCTGGACCTTCATCTCGGTTCTATTTTTTTTTTATAAAAAATGTAGTCCATAGATTAAAAAGGACTCTCATTAGGCAGCTTGGTACATCATGTTTTGAGAAGAAACAGCTACAAAACTTAGTATTAGTAAGTTTTTTTTCATTACTGTTTTAGTTTAAAAGTCTGAGGGGGTAGCCATGTTACTCTGTACTTCAAAATAATAATTAGAGGAGCTCATCTTAGTTTCTCTGACTGGAGACAAGTTGATGAGAATCGGGAGAAAAGAAAAATTATCCATTTGAATGAATACAGATAGGTTTAGGAAGCTAGAGTTGCGCTGCGAGAGACCCTCTTCTCTCCTAGAGGGGAAGCTGCACAAATGGTTTACACAAAGAATGAGTGACAACCAGTGGGGATAAGGAGCAACATGTCCTGGGGCAATACTATTTCCAATGTTTTTCATGCTAGGAGTATGCTAGCATGCATACAACTTTAAAAAATCCGAATCAGGTGAAACATGGAGGTGGATAAACAGAAGGAATCAGCTTTGTACTTATTCACAGTTAAGGGACATTTTAATTGTTGAATATCATTTTGATACCAGGGCTGGCTGCTTGTTCAGCTCTTATAAGTTTATCAGCTTTACTAAACTGGTATTTTGGCTATGCTTCTGTCTGACCTAGGTCTGTTTTCATGTATTTTAAGCCATTTAGAAGTGAAATGGCTTTATTATTTTTTAAAATACTGTTATTTTCCTTTTATTGTTGTATAAAGGTAGCCTAAGAGTCAAATTTTTACTTCTTATTTCTTACCAGAGGAATTCATTTAGATCAGAAATGTCAATGTTGGTGAACTCCAAGCATATTTGTTGTACATTCTAACATCTTAACTGGAGCTGAAAAGGTGTTTCTTTGGAATAAATAATTTTTTAAAAAGTGTTAAGTCACAGAGAAGCTAAACAGAAAAAGTACTAAATAATCTTATTAAAATCCCTTTTCTTTCTCAATTGCTCAGCTTTCATTCTCTTGATGGTTTCACTAATTCTTTATTCACCATAGTTTTCCAAGGCAGACATAATGTATTTCTCAGGCAAATGCCAAAGCCCCTTTTTAAACATTTTTAGCTCTTGTACATCATGAGAGGAAAAGGACACAAGCTACATCATTCCCCTATGCAGATTGTTATTAGAATGTATTTAAGATTTTTCTTTGCAGTTTGCTCTAACTTACTTCCCTTATTGCCTAGATAAATTTCTCAACCATCGTACTCTGTTTCTATCTATTTATCAGGGAAGAACAAAAAGTTCTTATCTCTTCTCTAACTTTCACCCACAACTAGAGGCTGCATCTTCTCTTGCTTCACTTACCACTCGGGTTCAGCTAGAGAGCAGTTTCTCTTCTGACTTTTAAAAGACCAGAAACAGCCTCTCACTCCCTCCCCCCTTCTCCTGGCTCCCCCTTTCCCTCCTCCCCCTGCATCTCTTTTAAACCAATAGGGTATTGCATTGGTAAGCAGATAAAATACTTCTTTTAACATTTTATTTCAGTTAGACTCAAAATGAGATTGCCTTTCCTGAAGTGTTGAAAAAGATCTATCTCTTGCAGTATAAGAAAGTAAGGCGTATATAATGGAAACCATAGAGGGAGAAAAAGCTGACGAGTTTAAAAAAGGTCTCTGCTAGTGTATGTCTTCAAATACGTAGAAGTTCTGCTAAAGCACATATAGTTCACTTAAGAAATACAGTCATATAAGCACACTGGAAATTTCTGCTTTGCGTTCTAATAAATATATGTGGGGTCTTCTTGGGTGATTGCCTGTGAGTTGCAGGAGTGTCTACAGTGAAGGGGGGTGTCATATTTCAAGATATTTCCAGAGAGGCAGGGCAAGGATCAGAAGAGACAGGATGGGGGTATGGGTTTAGAGGAAAGGGTGGAGTAGAATGAAAGAAAGAACCCAATTTAATTTATTAGCACAATCTGGTTGTGCATAAAAGTAGCTCTAAATGGTGGTGCAGAATTTTTCAATGCCCCAGTCTATAAAGTAACAAACATGAGAGCTTCTCTACACACAGAAGTTGCACTGGATTAACTTAAATCAGATTAGTTAAACCACTGTTGTTTTTGTGTATGGACTCTCGTTTGAAATTAACAATGGTTATATCTATTTAGCATGTGTCTGTTTCCTGACACAAGCTAAACTGGAGTAAGTCTGTTTTAAATTGATGTAAGGGTTATCTACACACAATTTTTATACCACCATTAGTATATTGATTTACAGATCCATATAATGAAAGTGATACAGCCTACTGCTGTGGATGTAGTTATAGTTCTATAAAGGTGTATTTATTAATATAGCTTAGGTATGACCAAATTATTTGATCCTCTGACCAAACAGAAAAACTTTTACCTCTGTTATAGCCCCCTTAGTCATCTCTTTTTCTAAGCTGAAAAGTCAGAATCTTATTAATCTCTCCTCATATGGTAGCTATTCCATATCCCTAATCATTTTTGTTGCCCTTTTCTGAACTTTTTCCTATGCCAAGGTATCTTTTTTGAGATGAAGTGATCACATCTGCATGCACTATTCAAGATGTGGGTGTACCATTTACTATATATTTGAGAGAATTTGTGAATCTGCGTATGTCCATCTATTTGTGAGTCTGTTTGTTCAAGAACTACTAAATGGTAAGAGCTAGGACCACCAGATTTGGTATGCAGCTTCCTCTTATCATAATTTAAAGCAAGGTCAGGGTTTGGTTGTGCCAGGACAGTGGGATGTGCATGGGATGTGATTGTTTCTGGACAAATGAAAAGGGAAGACTGTGATAGCAGGGTCAGTTATACTCACAAATGACCACGGGGGCCCCAAACTCCAGGAAGCAGCTGCCTGCCAGGCAGCACAGCTTGCACTGCCCCAGTCTAGCCCCAGGGAGTAGCCATCAGCTGGGAAGCACAGCCTCTGCCACCCTGGCCTGGCCCCAGGGAGTAGCTAGAAGATGAGCTGTGTGGCCCCTGCTGCCTCATGCCAGCTCCAGGGAAGAGGCAGTGGCTGCTCCCTGCCCTGACTCCTGCATCCCCTCCCCTGAGCCCCGCCAGGCCTCCCAACCCCCTGCCCTGACTCCTGCACCCCCAGCCACTTCTCTGAGCTCCTCTTCACCCCCAACTCTGACAGCTGCACCCACACACACTGAGCCCCTGCCCTGAGCTCCCCACATCCACAAACCCCTGCCCTGACTCCTGAACTCCCCACATCCCCAACCCCTGTTCTGAAGGATCTGAGCGATGCCAGGTAAATCTTCAAGTGGATTTATATACAGGCAATAAAATATTCTCTGTCTTATTCTCTAACCCTTCCTTAATGATTCCCAACGTTCTATTTGCTTTTTGGACTGTTGCTGCACATTGTGTGGATGTTTTCAGAGAACTATCCACAGTTACTCCAAGATCTCTTTCTTGAGTGGTAACAGTTAATTTAGACCCTATCATTTTATATGTATAATTGGGATTATATATATTTTCCAATATGCATTACTTTGCATTTCTTAACATTGAATTTCATCTCTCATTTTGTTGCCCAGTCACCTAGTTTTGTAAAAGGGAAAAGAGAGTTTTGGGTGTTCAGTCCTGCAGGAGGTACCTTTCTGGACTCAGGGGCTGTGTCTAGACTACATAGCTCCGTTGACAGAGCCATGTAAAGTAGTTTACCCAACATAGTCAATGAAGCGGGGATTTAAATAATCCCCACTTAATTAAAATAAAAATGGCTACCGCGCTGTGCTGACAATCAGCTGATCCGGCCCAGCACAGCAGTCTAGACGCAGCATGGTCGACAAGGGAAGCCTTTGTCGACCACTCCTGTAAACCTGTGAAACAAGGTTTACAGGAGCAGTTGACAAAGGCTTCCCTTGTTGACCGTGCCGTGTCTAGACTGCCATGCTGTGCTGGATAAGCTGATTGTCGGCAGAGCGCGACGGCCATTTTTATTTTAAATCCCCACTTCATTGACTATGTTGAGTAAACTAGTTTACATGTCTCTGTCGATGGAGCCATGTAGTCTAGACACACCCAGGGCGTCAGCCCCATTCCTGGTGAAACCCTGAGCCCCTGTAGGTATACCCTGGGGGTGTATTGAAGCCACAGTGACCCCTCTCCCTGCTGGGTAGAAACCAAAGGCAACGTGTGGAAGGCACCTGTCCTCTAGATATTTGCCAGGATTTGCTGGCCCTGCTTGGTCACATGGGGCTTGGCAGCAGCCATGGGGAGAGGCGGTGGCAAACAGCTAGGAGCTGCAGGGAGAACCACTGAGGGTAGAGAGAGGCAAGACATGTTGCAAAGAAAGCAAACATGATTCTGGGATGCATTAACAGGTGTGTTGTGAGCAAGACACGAGAAGTCATTCTTCCGCTCTACTCTGTGCTGGTTAGGCCTCAATTGGAGTATTGTGTTCAGTTCTGGGCACCACATTTCAAGAAAGATGTGGAGAAATTGGAGAGGGTCCAGAGAAGAGCAATGAGAATGATTAAAGTTCTAGAGAACATGACCTATGAGGGAAGACTGAAGGAATTGGGTTTGTTTAGTTTAGAAAAAGAAGATTGAGGGGGGACATGATAGCAGTTTTCAGCTATCTAAAAGGGTGTCATAAGGAGGAGGGAGAAAACTTGTTCATCTTGGCCTCTGGGGATAGAACAAGAAGCAATGGGCTTAAACTGCAGCAAGGAAGGTTTAGGTTGGACATTAGGAAAAAGTTCCTAACTGTCAGGGTAGTCAAACACTGGAATAAATTGCCCAGGGAGGTTGTGGAAACTCCATCTCTGGAGACATTTAAGAGTAGGTTAGATAAATGTCTATCAAGGATGGGCTAGACAGTATGTGGTCCTGCCATGAGTGCAGGGGACTGGACTCGATGACCTCTCGAGGTCCCTTCCAGTCCTAGTATTCTATGATTCTAAGACAGAAGCGATTGGAGGGCCAAACCTTTAAATAATGCCCCTGCACTCTCAGCAGACAGAAGACCCTACTCCCACCATGCTGCTGCCGGGCAGAAGCCCCGGGTTTCTCGTTCCCCAAGTCTAGTAGATGGAGAAAGAGGAATAGAAAAAGAGTCACATGTGGCTCATGA